GCGTCCTTCCCTTCCCAACGCACCTGGGAGACTGTGTGCTGATGGTGACCTCATTTCGGAGGAAGAAACCGGGGCAGTGCTTCCTGCCCCCTTGCCCCGCACTCCCTGCCTGCCTCCCTCACCGGCCATCCTGTGTGGGCAAGCCCTGGCCCCTGGCTTCTACCTTCCCCTCCCACCACCCCATCCTTTTGCTGTGTTGCAAGAACTAGTCCTTCAGTAGCTAGGGTGGCTTTGCAGCTTCCCAGCTGTGTCTACACAGTTCAAATGAGTCTCGTTTTTAAACACCACTGTCCCATACCATATGGGCAGGTGTGAAACCGGAGTCGAGGGTCTGATGAAGGAGTAGATTGTGCAGGGGACAACGCAGCATTTTTCCGCTTTCTACGAAAATCTGTTGATGCAAATTTCCCGCTTGAGAGAAAGATCAAGGCAGCAGGGCGGTGGATGGCGCTACCCATGCCAGTTCTAATCTCCAGCAGCCAATCCCACACCCTCCAGAAAAGGCCCTCAGAGAGAGGCCAACCATACTTTTGGCCTCCTGGTGCGAATGCTTGCCCCTAATAGAGTAATATTCGAATCCCCTTTGGACACTTAAAGCCCAAGGCGCAGACTCAGAATTGGTGCCTGGGCCCATCAACTTCTTCCCGCCTGCCTGGACCTGGAGTAGCCAGACGGGCCTGAGGCCTCCTCAGCCCCTCCTCTCCTCCACTCCTGTGCCCCAGGGAGGCTTTCCCCAAGCCGCCACTGGCTCCCCACGTTTGGGCTCCTTTTTTGTCTCCGATTTGTGCTACTCTTTCTTCATCCAAAAAGGCGTTGGGGATCCCGAGAATCTGCTGCAGCTTGGAAGCCAAAATCTCAGAGAATCTTACACCTGGAAATGGTGTAAAAGGCACCGTGGCTCCCAGAAGGTCGCACAGCCGGCCACGGACAGGGCAGGGATCAGGACAGCCACCGTGGCGGTGAGGAGTCCAGGGCTTTCTTCTCTCTGGTCCACGAACTCCCAGCTCCAAACGCTGCGGGACTGCGTGGGCCTCTGCCCAGGCTACTAAAACGCGCGGACGAGAGGCGGCTGCGGCGCGGCCCCGAGGCCAGATCTCCACCGGCGGGGGAGTTCTCGGCCCGCACCGGCCCGACCTCCCGGGAAATGGGACCGGAGCGCTGAGGGAGCCCGGCCAGGAGGCCTCCTAGGACCCAGCCGCGACGCTGAAAAGCATGAAGGGTCGGAATTAGGCACTCATTTAGCGAGCGTTACTAATCCGAAGTTACAGCGCTAATTCCCTGATCCGGCCGCTCCCACACGCAGCGCCGGGATTAGAGGCGCGGCCGCCGCCCGCCCCGCCCTCACACCCCAACCGCGCCTGCCCCGCGCCCTCGAGGCTGCGGGCTCAGGGCTAATCCGCCGCGCCGCGCTCGCCTGGGCCGAGCGCGCGGCGGGGCGGGCCCGGCCAGCTGGGGCGAGGCGGCCTGTTCGCTGGCTCCGGCGCCCGGGTCCGGGCTGGGCAAGGAGCTCTCGGCCGGGAGCCGCGGGGCAGCCCAGGCCGGACGGATGCGCCCTCCAGGCGAGGCCGCGCGGTGGAGAACCGCTGGGATTTCTCCAGCCAGGGTTTGCGCACCCACAGCAGCGGCCTTTGGAGGCCGCGGCGCCATTTTAGTGGCCTTCCTTCCTCCTTGGCGTCTTTCGCTTGCTGGGTGGCCAGGTGTCCCCAGCTCCCCAAGCCCGCCCTGACTTCGGCTGCTCCCTTCGCCAGCCTGGATAGAGTGCCCAGTCAGCTCCGACCTAGGGTGGGATGCGCGTCACCATGGCGACAGCTAGGGCGCCCTGGCAGTGCTGCCCATCGCAGAGGGCGAGTCTCCACTCCGCGTGGATGGGCGTGAAGGGAAGGTGGGGACAGGTACGGAGGAGGGGAGATGGAGTGAGGACGTGGGACCTCGTCCCCATTCCCACCCCATTCTGCCTAGGGTCAGTTCAGCTGAGTCAGGCCAGGGATAATGGATGGTGTGAAAGGGGGCTGGATATCGGCCTGGGCTTGTCCTGCGGCCGCTCTTCCACGAGTCCTCCCATCGCCCCCAGGACCTAGATCTGGTACAAAGGCCCATCTTGGTTTCTTATTCTCTTCTATGTCTTTCTTCCTAAGACAGTGGTGTTCAGGAGCCCCCCAGAGGTTTCCCCCAATTTTCTTGCTGTTAAGTGCTGTGATTTTAGAGAAGGCGCTTTCCCTAGGTCTTAGTTTTTGCATCCAGAAGATGGGCTACTGTGCAGACTTGTGCATGGAAGGCCTTGAGTGGACACTGGTTGTCCTACCAGTGTTAGAGCTCCTTCTCCCTCAGCAGGGAGAGCAAGACCTTTGGGGGCAGGATTCAGAGCCTGAGGATGTCCCTTCTGTCCAGGGCAGCCAAGTTTGGGTGTCTCCTAGCTTCCTAGAGCCAGCTTTTCATCTCTCCTCCAGACAGCTGGGAGAATCGGAGAGGAGGGGAGGATTTTTAAAAATAGAGCCAGGGCGGGGGCTGTGGCTAGAACAAAACCTTGGTCAGTGGCTCTGAGAATGGGCTGCGGCAGCTCCCAAAGTGCTGGCTCCTTCCTTCAAGCCTGGTCCGGCTTAAGCACCACTTTAAGTGGTCCCAGCATTCACTGGCCAGCCCCTCACCGCAATTGAGCCGCAGGGGTTTGAAAAGAGGGCCAGGGCCTCAATGACAGGACCTTGGGCCAGGCTAATTGGTTTTGGTTCAAGGGGATACTGGATTTGTGAAAAGCTCCAAACCGCCTTTCCCACGGCAGAGCCAGGCCACGGCTTTAAGGAGTAGGGTTCGAGGAGCTTGGGGCCAGGCAAGGAAGCTGGGAGTGAGATGCCTTCAGCTGATGACCTCTCATGGCCTAGACAGCCCTCTGCTTGGAGACGGCAGGAAGCTGTTGTGAGGCCACTTCCAGGGGCACCTGCTTTTAGGCCAGTCACGTACTGGAGAGTCAGCTGGAGACATTCCTAACCTCCCACACGTGGCTGTGCCAAGAATGGGGCCTCCTTTTTAGGCACACCTTAGTGGTAGAGAGGCCCCGTTTTTCCCAAGTGGGCTCATCCAGTAAAAGAAGCCAGCAATGGCCATGTTTAATATTTCTTGCCCCAGGAGCTGGACCAAACCCAGGCTTTTATACTCTGGGGGGATCCTGGACTCTACCCTGAGGCAGATATGCAGTTGGTCTCAAGGTGATAACCCACTTCTGTCTCTTGAAATGTCCTTACACTACCCTGGGCACAGACAGACAAAGCAGAGATGAAAATGAGAAGGAGGCCCTTGGTACATAGAAAAAAAAAGGTCAAATATTTCTGTTCTCAAAAGTCCAGCATTGTGTTATTACTTAGATCTATCATCATTATAGATAATTTTAATGTAAATGCCTTGAAGCATATATTTTAAGGTGTACCAGTTACCTATATGTTTGGACCAAATGATTGCACATTTGTATATAAAATATACCCATTCTATGTGTGCATATGTATATGCATGCATGGTCTATATACCAAATCATAGGCTTATATTAACAAACAGTTATGTTAAGGATGAAGGCAGTGTGGGGTGCTATAAAACATCAGCTCTATTTAAAATAATAATGTTGCATTCACTGAGACCCTTGTTTCATGGTTCATCGTGTGTTGAGGGGAGCATTCCAATGTGATCACCGGCTAAAGAAACCTCCTACCTTTTTTGTTAGCATCCACATTTTTTACTGTTTGCCCACTTGAGGCACAAAAGTAGGAGAAAGGCACTTTGAAGAGATATAGAACTCTGTGTATCACATTTTCCATTTTTATTTCAATTTTTAATTGCCCAGAGCCTAATTTCTGTGAGCCTCTGCTGATTTGCACATTTGAGATTCATGTGTAAATATGCATGTGGCATGCGTGCACGCCTGGGCCTCCTTATCACAACGTGTGCGCTCTCGGTGTTTAAATACACACAATCCACATCGACACATGATTATGGGCTTACGTATTTGCTTCTTCTCTAGAATCAGGTTAATTTTCCCTTCACTAATCCTCAAACCCATTAAGTTCCCCACCTCCCCACCCCCACAAAAAATTGCAAACCCTACCACAGACCAGTGGTCTCACCCCACTTCTCCAGCACGCAGTTCTCCAGGCAGGGTGCTGGAGTGGAGGTTCCTATTAGGCAGACTTCATTAATGTTACCAAATACACCCCGGCACATTTACTCGCCTACTATGAAGTATTACCATAAATAATTAAAATTAAACTGCACTTGTCAAAATAAATGAACAAAGTAGAGTTAGTGATGTCTTTGCCTTGGTTTGCTTGGTTTGCTTACTCACTAATTTGAGGAAAGAAAGAAAGTGAGAGGAGGAAAGAAAGAACACTGCCACAGACTGCCGTGGGATGAGCAGAGGAGGGGGGAGAGAACAGAGAGAGACAGAGAAGGGAGACAGAGGGAGAGAAGAAGGGAGGAGAGAGAGAAAGAGGGAGGGAGGGAGAGAGGGAGAGACAGAGACGGGGGCGGGGGGGGGGAGAGAGAGAGAGAGGAAAACCCCTCAGTCATCTGCCCTTGGGTTTCCAGTCATTAGGGCACTCTGGGAGGCTGGAATGCAGCCTTTAACGTCAGCTCATAATGAATATTGAGGTGTGGACGTGGAAGGAGGGATTTCTTTGTTTACTGAGGAATGGCCTTGGGAGTGGGGGAGAGGATTGCCTTTAGGGATTAAGGAGTGGGCTTTGTTTTTATAAAGGGTCTTACTTCTTTTCTGAAGTTTTCTGCAGCTAATTGATTCAATTCAGACATTCCTCCTCCCCACCCGGCTCTGGCCCAGTGTTTGTGAGTTGTGCAAGCCCCATTTCCCCATCTGCTCTGGCCTCTTTTTCCACTGTGACCCTTGAAAAGGGTGTGAACCTTCACATCAACGAGATCACAGGCTGTGGGGAAATCAGTCAGGGGCCGAGACCTTTGTATGGATATGTGTGTGATACAGATGCACACACATACACACGCACATATATTAATAGAGGTATAATTCACATCTAGAAATAGATCATAGGTGTACAGTTCTGTGGGTTCTACAAATGCGTTTATACCCATGCAACCAACACCCAAGATAAACCTCATTTCCTGCATTCCGAAAACTTCTTTCCTACCTCTCACAGTCAATCCCTGTCAGTCCCCATTCCAATGTCTCCTACCATAGATCAGTTTTGCCAATCTAGAGTTTCATATAAATGAAATGTATGTCAGGGCTTTTTAAAAAAGAATTTATTTCAAGTCTGGAGGGAGCACTATCCTGGAGGGAGCGCTCAGCCAGGCTGAGCGTGTGTCTAGGAGCACTGGACTTGTGTTAAACACTGTCCCCTTGGATGGGTCCAGAAGTCAAACCTGTCATTAGATTTTTTTTTTTTTTTTTTGACTGGGGGAGCTGGTGTGGGCTGGTCTTCCTCCAGGAGAGCCCTGTTCTTGCCCGAGGTCTGTTAATGAGCTGGGGACAGGTGAGCCTCACACATTCCAACTTGGCTGCCTTCAGCGGCATCCAGGAGCTGTGGTGAGCTATTAATGGAAGGTGCTGGCTTTGTGCTAATTAGAACTTCCTTTCAGCTTCCATCTGCACAGACATTGGAGCCCCTCACTGGTCAGCCTCACTGTCCCCACCCCCTCAGTTTGCAACCTAGTTTTTGCTCCCCCCATGAATTAGGGGGTGCTAGGAGTGGAGCTGCATTTTTCTCTCTGGACAAATCCCGGCTCTTTGTGTTTTGCAGAACTGTAAGGGTGGCATGTCTCATGCCTTATCTCTCTTGCTGGGGTAGAGATGGACTTGGAAGATGGAGTGGGAATGGGGTTTGGGCACCATGGCCAACCTCCTAGGTAGGCTGGTCTTACATCATCAACCTGGGTTTGTTTTCTGAAAGGCCTCTCTCCTCTGCCGTCTGGAGACTGTGGCTTCAGACCCTTGTCCTCCCCATTACACCTAGTCCTGATGTCTCCCAAGTCTGCTGGTACCTACCCATCTCAACTGCAGCTGCCATCTTCCATCTCAGGCATCCCACAGGTGGGGGCTGTGTCCTTGTCCCTCTTAAAAAAAAAAAAACAAAACGATTTTTTTCTTTACTTTTGCTTTTTATTTCTTTCACATCAGGCCCAATGGACATCATTTTTTTTTTTTTAATGGAGGTTGTCTCTTACAGAGGTTTCATTGAAAAAGAAGAAACAATGTCACATTAACGTCATTTAAAGAAAAAGCACCTCTCAAGAATGGAGGCTGGGAAAGCTAGGGCTTCCTGCCTGAATATGAGTTGGGATGCAATCCCTTGTGGGGAACTTGAGAGGAGCGTCTCCTCAAAATGCTTTCTTTAGCTCCTGAATCTCCTTAGGTCTCCACTGGGGCTGTGTGTAAAAATATCAAGCCCTCCCTGACAATGCATCTCATTCTCTTCTGCTTGAATTACCCTGATAATGAGAGGTCACCCATTTCTTGGACTTTGTAGACTAGGATTTTTAAAATTGGGAGTGAATTACTGGACAGTGTGACATGTCACCAGGTTCCCTCAAGATTCTGGACCTATGCAAAAGAGGGGTGGAAACGTTTCTGGGTTTCCCTGAAGGGCTGCAGAAATTCTCTGTCACTGGTCATCGGGAGAGCAGGAGGACTGGCATACCTCTGTGGCCTCTTCTGCCTCTGCAGGTGACAATTCCTGATTTGGGTCACTAGGGTAGAAGACCCAGGACTATCCAGGACCAGGTTGATAAACTGGCATCCAGATTCCAGAAGGGCAGCAGCTGGGGGCTGGAGGGATGCTCGTGCCTGTGGCTCAGTTCTTTTGCATGCTTTGGCCTTTCCAACTCTGTATCCTTGACAAGTTACATGCACCTCTGGGTGAAAAGGGGACAATAGTACCCATACCTCCAAGGGTCATGTGGGAATTAAGTAAAATATACAAATAAAGTGCCTGGCATACAGTGGGCACTGAGCAAATGGCAGCTCTTTTCTCCAGGCTGGGGCAAGTGATGCATATAAATGTCTGGAACTGAAGTTCAAAATTCCACCTGCTGGAGACAGTGAACACCCCAATACATACGAAAATCCCACAGAAGGACAGAGGACCCACTGCTCTCCTCCCAGCAGCCCTCCTCCCCAGCGCATGCCATACACACTGGGCCTGAAGTGGGAGAAGAATCCAGACCCCGAAGAAAGGCTTGTGGAGCGGGATTGCAGATAGGTGCAAAGTTCCCAGCTTGGCTGCCTGGGGAAGGGAACATAGAAGTGTCTTCAGAGATTTGAAGGACTGACCTACTTTGCCAAGAGGTCTGGGGCTGGGAACCAAGGGGGTGCTGCCGGGAGGCCCATGTTAGCTTGGGGTACAACATTTCTAACAGCTGTCGCTTGCGGAAAATGGGGTGGGGTTCCAGCTCTGGAAGGTTTCGAATCTCAGGATTCACCAGCGGCGCTGTCCGGAGCAGCCAGGGTTGTCCCAGGGCGGTCTCGCGTAGGCTCTCCGCGATGCGATGGCTGGGTCGCAGGTGAGAACCTCTAGGTTCTCCATTTCCCGAGCTCCAGCTCGCTCCCTTCACTTGCCCCAGCGGCATCCTGGTTGGAAGTGTGACTATCTGGCGGGTAAGGAGATCCAGGTGAGACGGAGCATGACCCTTGTTCCCTTTAGTGGTGCCTCCTCCCCGATTTGTCTCCTGCATCCTGGGAGGGCATGCTTGAGGCACCACGAGCGCCCAGCACCGCCCCCAGGCTGTGGTTGTGACCTGAGGACCCGTGCACCCCCGCCCCCAGGCCACCGCCCAGGGACCCTGAGTGCGCGCTTCTGGGCGGGCGTGGGGGGTGCCTGATTTCTCCGCTCTGTTTTACAGTGATTCCCCTGCTGGTGCCTCCCTCCTTGGCGCAGCTCCGCCTGCGATCGGCGCCCTCTTCGCAGTCACGAACTCGCGAGCAGCTCGCAGCACTGACTGGTAGGAGGGCCCGGCAGAGGAGAGGTGAGCGCCCAGAGCCAGGGAGTAGGAGGAGGAGCGGGCCGCCCGCACCGCCCCCGAGGCCTCTAAGAGCGGGCTGCGCGCTGGAAAACTCCAGCATCAGATTGGGAGTGCGCCTGTATTTTTACCTGGGTCACCAGAAAGACGAGTCCCCTCCTCCCTAGGCCCGGATCCAAGGTCATCCCTCACCCCCAACCTGTGAAACGGCTTTAACGACACACCTGCTGGCTTGTTGTGCGCTGTAACATAATTTGGCAGAGCACGGCGTGTAGCACACAGTGGGCGCAAAGTAAATGGCGGCTCTGGCGGTTCTAGCACAGGAGGCGGCTGCTCGGACACCCGGCGTTCGCGGGGCCTGAGGCGCTCGGTGGCTGGAGCCTCGGCTGGGAGTGGAGCGGCCGCTTCCCGCCGGCGCAGGATCAGGGCCTGGGCCCGCGCCCTCCACCCAGAGCTCGGGAAACTGTAACAACAGGCACGAACTCGGAAGCCGCGGTGCGGCGAGAGCCTGGGGCAAGAGTCGTCTCCAAGCATTCACACCTCGTCTACACTAGGGCACCGCCTGGGCCTACGGCCTTCGCAACCCGAAGCGCCCGCCGCCCAGAGCCGGCATCGGGCCTGGAAGGTCTTCCCCGCAAGCCCCAGAGCGCGGGCGCGGGGTTGGGGGAGGCGCCCACGGGGCGCCGGGGGCTGGGGAGGGAGGAGGGAAGGGCGCCGCAGGCCCGGGAGGCCATTTTGAGAGCGCGAGGAGGGGCGGCAAGATGGCTGCGTGGGCACCGGGAGGTCGCAACGCCGAGAGCCCGCCGAGCCCCTCTTCGCACTCGCCCAGCCGCGCGGCCCACGGAAGCGGAACGCGCGTCGAGCGTGCCAGGCCCATCGGCGATCTTGCTGCCGCTCGTCCCAGACAGACGCCCGGTATTCATGACCCCGAGGCCTAGAGGGGCGAATGGCCGCCGCCCTCCTGCCCGCAGCCCACCGGACCCTCCGTCACGGCCGCCCTGTCCCCGGAGCTATGCGCGTCGTGGCTGCTGGGGAGAAAGAGGCGTCCTGCGAGAGCCCTCCTCCCCTGGCAGGCGGAAACGGCCTCCCCGTCTTCCAAAAACGGCGGTATTTTGGAGTCTGCAACCACGAGCGCTTCTAGCTCTTTCACTGTCTTCGAGGAGTGTTAGGTGTGTGGCTAACGCCCGCGTTTTCTTGAAACCGCGAGGCCCGACATGGCAAGCGGGCCGAGGCCACCCTCCTAGGGCTGGGTGTGGTAGGAACGCAAGAGCAGCCACGGGCCGGGGAGCAGTGGGCCCTGCGAGGGGGCAGGAGCTGGCGAGGGCCTCCATCGTCCGTGTGGTTGGGGCGGAGGACCGGCATGGAGGCTCCATTCACACAATCCCAGGGCAGGCTGCGGGTGAGATGCGGACGAAGCAGGCGGGGCAATGAAGCTGCGTCTTTGAGCTTGCCCCTCCAGGCCTGAGGGCCAGAGCCTCTGCCTCATTTACCCCCGTCCTAGTCTCGGGAATAACTGAAGCACAATCACTGTTTTTCTAGCTGTCCCCTCCTCCCCCGCCTTGAAGCAGGTCCCAGGCCTGCACATTTATATGTAGAGTGACCAAGAAACTTCGGTAAAACTAGTTTGTGTCTTGGGAATCCTTTGTGCCAGGGCTGGTGCTAACAGCTTCAGGAGAATGCCGCCTCACCTTGACAGGTAAGGTGATGATTCACTATTTGTGACTTTTGCTATAGCTAGGATGCGACAGAGCCGGGTGTGGACTAGGGGCTGTCTGCCCCAAGGCCTGTGTTCCCAGCCTGTCTCTGCACATACACAGGAGCACAGAGGTTCATCCCCATCAGGGTTTCATCTTTCAAACAAGCACCTAGCCTCTTGTGAATCCAAGTCCCCATCCCCACACAGCCTTACCTCACAACTGGGGGCACTCCTGCCGTCTCCCTACCTCCCCTTCTAAAGCCCTGGCCTTAGATAGATGTATGATTAAATAATGTGGTTGTTCTGAGCTTCCTGGCAGCCAAGAAAAGAAAACATGATGGTTTATAACCTTGTTTTCAAAATGAAGTTCATCAGGATTTTAGAGAGAGAAACACTTTTTCTGTACAAGATTTCTAGAAAAGGTAAAGCTTAATGATTATGTAGGTCAACTGCCCATGTCACTGATGAGGAACTAGGCCCAGAGGGGTTAAGTGACTTTCACCAAGGTCACAAAATTAGCCAGTAGAGTGGGGACTGAGACCCAGGGGTCCTGACTCCCAGTCCAGTTCCCATCCTCTCAGGACCAGCCTTTAGCGGGCTTCTCAACTGGGAGATAGTTTAATTGTGGTCTAGTGGCTCCTCCATTCCTCACTGTAAATTGCTCAGACCTGGATGCTGTCTTATTCCTTTCATACCCCAGTTCCTAGTGCTGGGCTGAACTCATCACTGTGGGTCTCTAAATATTAGATAGTGGAGTGAGGCTGAAACCTCTGATAATCGGGGGATATGGGTGGTGGTAGAAGGGGAGTCCCTGGCTTCAGTTTTCTAGGGGGCCTTTCTTTTTTGAAGTTTAGGTCTCTGATCATTAGATCCCTAGGTCTCTCTCCTGGCAAGTGGTACAGGATGGGTCGTGTGCTTTCCCTTTCGGTAGCCATTCTATTCCTAACTGCCTTGTCACATTATTGGACCTTATAGGAAAGGGTCATTTGTCTATTGGGGGACTGTGTTGTCAGTGGCATGTGCAAGTCCCTTTAGGTAAACTAAGGGAGGTTTCCCCACCAGCACGGTGGCCATGAGATCTGGCTGACTCATTCTTTTGTCCTTTTTGGGTGGAGAGTCAGATTTTCTGTACTTGCTCAGGTGTGATTCCCATGGCTTAGGTACAAATCACAGAATGTGGCTTGGATTAGTAAATTTCCAAGGCTCTCAAAAGGTAGCATTTGAACCCCTGGCATGAAAACCGTAGGTGCTGAATCAATGTAGTGACCCTGCAACAGATCAGATTATCTGGAATTCTAGGCTGGAAAGATGTCATCCCGGGCATGGGGAGGGTTGTGCTTCTTGATGGGATCCCCCCTTGGCAGAAAGACTCCAAAAGATTCTGGCCAAATTCTGTTGTCTTTGGGTAGAATCTGCACAGGCAAAGCAGGGTAGGTAACCAGGGCTGGTTAGCAACTAAAGCCCCAGCTGTGGAAGAAAAACAGGGTCCAGCTCCCTAGATTAGTTACTGTCTACAAGGATTAAAGGCCCCAAATAATGGCTGGCTTCTCCCCTCCTCTGTGCCAAGGGAAGACATGTAAATACAGCCGCACGCCAGCTTAGGCAGTAGATGTGTATAAATCGAATTTAGCAAATCAGATCATGGTTTAAATGCACTATTTAAAGCAGTCCTGCAGTGAAGCCTTTTTACAAAGGGAATAATCATTTTGTGATGCTAATCATCAGCCTCCAATTTATCTCCTTTGTAAGTTCAGATGTTGGTGCTCTGGGTGTTCTGAAATTGGGGTGCTCTTGTGTAGGGCTCTGGTGATGACTGTCTGCCTTCTCTTTCTGCCCTTTCATTTTAAATGGGTGCATGTCCTGTTTCTCACTGGGGGCCTCAGGATGCTTGTCACTTAGCCTGATAGTCTCATCCATCCCACTCATCTTTTTAGAATCTGATAGAGCCCACCATTCAGCTGCTCCTGGCACCTTTTCTGAGATTTTGTCCTTCCTGGGGAGACATACAAGGCCTGCTGTTCTCGAGGTGTTAAAACTAGCTCCCTCTCTGATCTGAACTGCCTTTTGTTTCCCTGAGCTTCTGATACCTCTGGTGCAGATCAGAAAGATGATCTTAGAGTTGACTAGATAACACAGATCAGCCCTGAATTTAGAAGGTGAATTAAATGCAGCCGCCCATTTGCTGAATATGCAATATCCAAACTATTCTCCCCATTCACAGCAAAATAACTGAGGCCTGGATGTTAAAGTGACTTTTCCCACAAGTTAAAATCGGGCCTCAAAGGAGAACCTGTCTCCCAATTGCTATAAAAGTGTTTTATATGCCGAGCTGTAGTTCCTTTCTCTACAGAGAAAATATAATCAGAGACCATCTGGGTGGGAGAGAAAGAATGAAGAGAAAGAAATGGATCAGAGTGGAATAAAGGAAGTGGGCAGGAAGCTGGGGGGCTTTGAGGAGCCTGACCTTGCTTAGCTTACAGGCCCTGATATAGTGTCTTTGTCAATGCTGCCACTATTGACGCGTTCCTTGGTAATTATGACTGTGTGTTGGCATGGCGACTCGGAGTAAGAAGACTAGAAGCACTGGGTAAATGCACGACTTGTTCTTGCCTTCTAAAGCAGAGAGGAGCTTTTGTGGGTAGTTCCTCCAGGGAGACATGGTAGAAAATTCAGCAGACCCAGTGCTGGAGTGTGAGTATTTACACCCCACAGGAGCCAGGTGGCCCTGAGCAGAGAATGTACCGAGGTCCTCAACAAGACTGGCATCTGATGCTGACGTCTCTCGGAGCCACCCTCTTGTGTCTTCCTGTTGGTCTTTGTTCCTTAGCCTTGTAATGTCAAGTATATTCATTTCTGTTCCTCTCTGGGTTGTGTATTTCAAAATAGGTTTATGTTGCAGTCTCCCTGAATTTGATTGATCATAAAATTATCTATTTCCTAGGCCATGACTATGTATTTGGAGGCTGAAGGGAAAGGCTGCTGGGGCTTCTCTTTCTATCCTCATGCCCTTCCCTCAGATGCTTGAACCACATTCTCATCCTCATTTGAAAACAGGAGAGGTTGCTGTTGTCCAGAGCTGTCCTATATGATAACCACCAGACACATGTGCTGTTGGTCTCATGAAATGTGGCAAACTTGGCATGTTGAATGATAATGTTGGGTTAAGTAAAAGATATTATTAAAGTGACCTGTTTATTCTTTTTAATGAAGCTTCTGAAACATTTAAAATTATACTCGGAACTGACATATTTTCATTGGACAGAGAGGTCTACACTAGAGGCTCAGAACCTCTTCTAGCCCCAGTACTTGGTAACCAATCCTGATCTTCCCCCAGGAGGCTTCTGGCCACACAGGGCTCTGTGCATGGAGGTCCTGGAAAAGTTAGAGAGGAGCCGAGTAGAGAGCCTTGGGCCTTGAGGGGCTTTTAGGAGTGCCTAGTATAGCCCTTTAAATGGCGATTACCCCCCAGTCCTTGGAGGCAGAAGTCGTGGCTTGAATCTGCAGGCAACGTTGTGTTTTCAGCATTTTAGGTGGGGACAGGCAGCCAATGGGTAGCCCCAGAAGACTCTTTGGATGAAGGTTTAGCAGTGCCCCAGTGGAGTTTGAACAGGCACAGCTGTAGTTAACAGGAGGGTCATCCTCTTTCCCCCATCCCCAGCAGTGATTTCATAGTCTCCTAGATGTGCAGAAACCACAGGAAGGCAGCCATGCATCCCAGGTTCGTGCCAAATCCACTTTCAGCAGGTTTGTTTCCTTTGGCCTGAGGGCTCCTTGCCGCCCTGCTCCAGCTGCCCCTCCTCCCCTCAGCCTCTGCTGCTCTCTGTGAGCTGGAGCTTCTGGGATGCGTCTTGGCTCAGAGCCAGCATCTTCTTGGAGCGGCCTCCTGCCCTGGCTCCCTGCCAAGCTTCAGGGCCTCAGAGAGATTTTCTGGGGAGGCGCCGGGCTCATACTGCTGTCAAAGGGCAGAGGGGCCTCAGTTAGCCTCTCCCCTTGGAGGACCCCTGGCTGTGGATCTGACCTGGCCTCCAGCCCCCTTCCCCTCTCAGAAGCTCCAGTTTCCTGCTCTAGAAACCCTGGACTGGGTTAAGGGCCTTCCAGCTCCAGTAAGCCTTGAGTTTATAGAAAGAGGGCTCCTCACCTGAGCCTGGGAGGTGAGGAATGGGCATCCAGGAAGTCAAAATGATGATGGGGACAGGAACCGCTTATTGACCGCTTACTCTGTGCCAGGTTCTGTGCTAATACTTTGCCTATTCTGTCTCCTTTGAGAGTTGTCTCTCAGGGAGAAAGAAGAGTAGTGACCAGAGATTTGCCCTTCTTTTCTAGGCCAAATGCCATTTGGGTGACTGGATGGGGTATGTTACAGGAGCTATAGTCCCTGCATAGGAGAGATTCCAGCCCTCAATGAGTCCTTGTCTCCTAAGGAATCAGCCTGGGCTTTGGAATGCAGCATGAGTTCATCTGGGTTGCCACAGGATGCCTCTG